CTGGTTCCTTTGAGCGAGAACTCATGGGTGGAGTGTCGATTACCACCTGAGAGTTCATCTCTACAGGCAGTGGCGACACCTGGGGTCTGAAGGGCAAATCGCCCAGAGAAGTTTGGCTTCCTGTGTCCTAAACCCACCCTCCCTCGCCATTCTCCACGTGGCGTGCTTCGTTCAAAGGTATCCAAAGCACCAAACCTACACTTGAACTTCAAAACAATTACGATCTGTGCCTCCTCTGATCTGAGAATGTGAATTCTCTTGGCGGCTCACTCAGAGATGAATCACACTCAGCAGCCGGAGCCACCTGTGGCTTTTGTGATTTAACCTGGAACGATTTAACCTGGAACATGTCGGTCTGTTCTCTCCAAACCCCCCGACATCATCTATTCCTCCACAGCACCTGCTTAAATAGGTGTTTTTTTTTACAACCACCAATACCATTTTTCAGTTCAGTACAACAGGAATCTGAACAGGGTGGCGGTGTCTACAAACCACTTGGGCCTCTGGGCTGTTTGGAGGAATCGTTGCGAGGGGAGGAAAGGCGCCGTCACAGCACAGGGAGGGGCATCCATGAGTCTGATCCGAGCCACATGGGGAACCATGGCTCGTTGCAGTGAGCTGTTCCCGACACAAAGAAATGGTCCACCGCTCTGTGCTCCAGGACCACAGGGCTGAGGGTCCATGTTGTCAGAGGACACACACAAGAAAAGGGGAAGCGCCTGCCCATCAGGAATTTGGAGACTCGAGGAAGAGCCCAGAACAATCGACACATGTTCCTAACACAGTCATCACTCTAAGGAGAAGGGAAGGAAGGGCTTTGACAGTAATGGGCAGGCATTCATCATGTCATCATGCCCCCCCCCCCACCAGGCCAGGAAGGCAGAATGAGCTCCGGAAACACCCCAAGAGCAGAGCCTGTCCGACGAGTGCTGGGCCCTCGTCACCCACACTCCCTCCCTTACCTGGAAGCCTCCCTCCAGGCTCTGGCGGATGGATGGTGTTTGAGGAAGGCAGCATCCTGAAAGGTGATCCAATGGGTTGTCTGGAAGTCTCCAAACCCGAGGTTAACTACGGCGTCCTGATGCTGAGAGAGAGCAGCAAGCCTATTGGCCCCAAAATAAAGAAATGGGAAAGTTCCCTCCCACTCTGCTTGCTGAGACTACGCATGCCCAGTGACTCAAACTGGGCCCTGAGCAAGGAATGCCCAGGACGATGCGGGGCTCCCTGTGGGTCCTGGAGGGCCAGGAGCAGCCCTCAGGGCTGGCAGTGGCCCCAGAAGGAAGGCCGCAGGCAGGCAGCAGACATGGCAGCCTGGGAGTAGTGACCTCGAGACTGCTGTTCTCCAGGACAGGGGTTCTCGTCCCTGGATGTCCATTAGAATCACCTGGGGAGCTTCAAAAACTCCGTGGCCAGGCTGCCTCCCAGCAGACCCTAGTCCGAACCTTTGGGGCTGAGACCCCAGCACCAGTCTTCTCTAGAAGCACAGCAGGGTATTCTAGGCACAGACAGGACGAGAAGGCCACACCTGGCGAGCAGTGAGCCTGTCCTACGCAGGACTCTGAGAGCCCCAGTTTCTAGAGGGAACGCAGAGATCAGAGACCTTGAAGTGAACGACGTTAGCAAGTGTGAAACCAGAGCAGACAAGCAAAACCTGCACAAGTAACAGTAAAGTGTAAGCCCATTCCAGGCACTACTCACCTAAGGGTTTCTTAGCTTTCATTTTATACAAATGAAATCAAACACCACACATTCTTTTGTGTCTAACTCTTTTATCATTCAAAATTTATGACTGTGAGATTTCTAGACCATTCATCCTCATCAGTGTATGTTTTGCATCATTTGAACGTGCCACACGCTCTTTACCTGCTTCACAGTGAATGAGCACTTCGGAGTGTCCAGCTGGGGGCATTTCCAAGCAGAAGTGTTCTGTTCATCTGGCAGCGAGGCTGCTGTATCGTAGAATATGCGTATGCTCAGCCTTAGATAATGATGCCAAGACATTCTCCAAAGCACACATGCCAACTGACATCACTGCAGCCGTGTATGACAGGCCTCCTCCTACATGTCCTCACCAGCACACCGTGTCTCCCAGGCATCTCTCATGGCTTCACTCTATGTCCTGTGATACATCAATGCCCCTCTCATTTCTGTGGAATTTCTAGGGATGAATTCAGGTGAGGAGCTAGATGCCACGTGCATGATTTGTGGTTCTCCAGAGAAACATAACCAATAGGATGGGTGGATGGATGGATGGATGGATAGATGATAGACAGATAGATGATAGATCTCACCCAGAAACATCCTCAGGGACACACGGAGAATAATCTCTGAGCAGATGTTCAGGCACCTTGCTGCCCAGTCAAGTTGATACATAAAGTAACTGCCACATTATGTTAGTTTGCCATCTTGTCTGCAACCCTTCCTTTTAACTGCTGTATAGTATTCCACAGTGAATAGGTATGAAAATATATATGTACTAGTGGCCCAGTGCACAAAATTTGTGCACGGGGGGCAGAGGTGTCCCTCAGCCCAGCCTGCACCCTCTCCAATCTGGGACCCCTTGGGGGATGTCCAACCTGCTGGCTCCTAACCACTCACCTGCCTGCCTGCCTGATTGCCCCCAACTGCCCTCCCCTGCCGGCCTGATCACCCACAACTGCCTTCCCCTGCCTCCTCCATGCGAGGCCGTGAGACACCAGGAATGGCTTCCTCCACACCACACAGAGCCACGGGACCCCCAGGTCTCACCGTGTGGGGAGGCCGCCGGGCCCCGCCTCCACTGTGTGCATGGCCATCTTGTGGCAGTCATCTTGTGGCGGCCATCTTGTGATGACATCGAACACGAAGGCCACCTAGGCTTTTATTAGTATAGATGTTTGTGTGTATATACATATATATACACACGTATATAGTGATACTTTATATCAATGAAAAATATGGATTATTTTAATATTACATTTATGAGTTTTAGCTATCATGTTATATTTGCTGCAGATCATTCTTCTCACACTATTTCATTGTGTGACCACATGGAAATGTCTTCATCCAGCCTACTGTTGATGGGCATGTGGGCAGTTTCCAGCTGGGAGCGTCTTGTTGGTACTGTCACCATAAATATTTGAGTTGCTTCTGATTTTTTTCTGAACGATGGATGTTGCAAAGGCAACTGTCTGTGTGTCTCCTTGTACATAGACATACATGTTTCCCCTGGGCAGCCACACGTCAAGAAGTGACCATCTGAACCATGGGTTGGAAGAAAACCACACATTCAGAAAGCTCTCTCTTCACCTATTCCCCATCCATGGCATCTACCAGGTCCTCTCTCTCCACCCTCGTCACAATATGACTTAACCAGCGTCTTTCCTTTCCCAGAAGTGACTCACAGATTTTGTTTACAAATTTGTATTGAAGTAAATCATACCTACAAAAAAAGCATTCGCATTTTCAGCATGCAGTGCAATGCATCTTTCTAAATTGTACATACGTAACCCAGGTAAAGAGATAACAAATTTGTATTGAAGTAAATCATACCTACAAAAAAAAAACACTCGCATTTTCAGCGTGCAGTGCAATGCATCTTTCTAAATTGTACATAAGTAACCCAGGTAAAGAGATGGGAATTACCATCATCGAGAATGGAATGATGCATTCCTATAGAACAGGTAATTTCATTTTACTAATCTGCAAAGGGACCATGGAACTAACTCTCACACCAGAATTGAAAAAGTGTGCCCATTTCTTGTCATCCTTGTCAACCCCGGTGGGGTCACACCCTTGTTTTGCTACACGGATAGGTAGGAATTCTGCCCTATTGTTTTAAGTTGCTTTCCCTCAGTTTGTAATATTATTGAGCATCTTTTCACGTTCACTTGCCAGTGGGACTATTTTTTGCTCATTTCGGTATCTGCTGCTTTGACCCTTTCTCTTAAGAGCCTACAGCTCACACATTTTGCTGCACAACTTCCTCCTCTTTGCTGCCCCTTCATTGTAGACTTAACATCTCATCTCTAACACACCGTATGCGTCCTGGGCTCCTGGGTTATGCGAAAGCTTCCCCAGGAGCCCTCATGAGGGCTACAGTCTCTTATGATCGTCACGCCTGCCGCCTCTTACTGGGTGGCATTAGCCCCTGGTTGTGGTCATTTGGCTCCCCGCATGTTTTCTGTGTAAGTGGCCAGGATGATGCTTGGTTCTATCATATGTCCTATTGTTTCCCAGCTGGCCTGCCACCCTTACTCAGGGTAACTTCATGCCAGGATAGGCATGTGGGATTTGGTGCAACACAATGTGTGTTACAGTAAAAGCACCCCTGTCTAGGAATTTTGGAAGACATGGGCTAGCATCTCATTTCCATCCCCAGCTGTGGGGTCCTGGACAAGTCACTCCACCTCTCAGACTTTCCTGGTGTAAAATGACAAGGTACAGACGCACGTGCTGCCTACCTCACAGAGCGGTTGCATATCAATGAAAGAACGCTGAGGCGTTGAGAGGACTTCCCAGGCACCAATCCCAGTCATCACGAGGGACGTGGCTTATTGACAAACACAGACCCAGGCTTTCCAGAGAGCTGCCCTGTGCAAGCCTGGGGAGAAGGGTGGGTGCGAGAGACAAACGTGCGCTTGTTTACTGAAATGACGTGCAGGCTACGGAGGGAATGGCTGGGTGACGATTGTAAGTCAGAAGGCAACCTCAGCTGAAGCAAATGCATAATTACGATTGGATTTCAGAAGGGCAAACATGATCTGAATTAATCAACCTGTGATCAGTCTAACTTCCTCTGTGGCTAAAATTGTTGCAAAAGGGTGTGTGGGAGGGGTCCCTTCTGGGAGGAAAGCACACCTGGGCAGGGAGGCCTGTCGGGGGAGCCGTTCCAGGGTCCAGGCCCGGCCCTGGGTGGGCTGTAGGAGCTGAGGCTTGCAGCTCCCCGATCGTGGCTGCTGAGAGAGCAGCACGTGGATGCGCCCTGCCGTCAGCCAGCTCTTCAATGAAGTGGGCTCGGAGGGCTCTGCGCCTCTGCTCAGCGCAGCTCCCGCCAGAGCCTGGGAGGCCGCGGAGGTGCGGCTGCTGCCGGCTCTCAGGAGGACCTGGACTCTCTTCCTTGGCTCTGGGCCCCCGGAGCCATGCCAGCCAACCTCACAGAGGGCAGCCCCAACTCCAGAGGGACCCCGCAGACCCCGGATTCTCACACGGTCGTCTGCTTCCCCACAACTCCCACAGAAGTGATGGAAGAAGAGGAGTGGGGCTCCTTCTACTCCTCCTTCAAGGTGAGTGTCCTGCCCTCCACCCTCCAGGCTGATTGTAAAGAACAGGACAAGCGGAGTTTAGGAGACCCCCGTGGAAATAGCCAGTGTTGTGAGGGGGGCAGTTTCTTCTCTTTACTTAAAAGAATGAGAGAAACCAAACTGATGAGCTACAGCAACAGTTTCTATAGACGCTGTGAGGACCTGTATTGTCGGTTTTTTATGAATAGGGGTCTTTCTTTTCCCTGCTGCTGCTGAAAATGTGGGATTTGAGTGGATGATTTTTAAAAGTTTTCTCTCCTTTCCTCGGGGGAAAGCCCGTTTAATGAATCCTTTAGTTGTGCTTGAAATGTGTGTCTTGTAAGGGTCGGTGCCGTGAGCGTTTTGCTGGGAACAGCAGAGGGGTGACCGCACCTTCCCCTGGGACAGGAAGTGCAGGAGGGAAGGCAGGCCCGCACCTGACTGAGCCTTTGCCCCGAGCAGCAGGAAGAATAGGTGCCTGCCTGCAGCGGGTGCCGGGACTCTGAGCAACAGGTGTCCTCAGAACGAGCAAAGGAATGCGAGTTCGGTGAGTTTCCTCTTGGAAGTGCCCAGGGGCCGTGGAGGACGTGATTCTCATGAAGCTAACCCTGGTCCCTCTTCGACAACACGCTGTGGTCCGGGCCCCCGGGGCGTCTGGAAAACCGGTCTCCTGCTTCCTGGGCAGGATGCCTGGGGCGTCAGGTTATTTCACCCACTGCCCGTTGGCGCGTTCGGCCACTACACTAATTCCTGGGCCTCAAACTGGTCCTTTGTCCCCCAAAGGAAAATACTCCACGAAAAGTTTAGCAGTTTATTGGAAAACCCCCTTGGTGTTCTGGAAATGAGGTGGTTTTTACACAAGCAGGTAGCATGACTGGAGCACCCCCCTCTCCCCCGGGAGCTTTGCTTCTGCGCCGACACTCAGAATAAAACCTTCAGCAGGAGCTGTCCCTAGAGCCAGCCCCGCTCCTCGGGGACCGTGCTACGAGGCACAGCAGAGCCGATAAGTCACTGAGGCAGGCTGCCGGGGCCCAGGCCCTGCAACCACCCCGTAGAGCAGGTGCACGCACAGCCGGCTGCAGGCTCCACAACAGAAAGCAATGCACGCTGAAACGGGCTGTGTTGCCATTGACTGAGGACTGAGGACCGAGGACCGAGCAGGCCCCTCCCTCCGTGAAATCTGCGCTGACCCAGAGCTGCTGCTGGGAGAGGCAGGCGCTGTGCCCCGGGAAGCCCAGGGCTGCTTCAGACACCGCCTCCACCGCCGCTTTGATAGTTACAGAGCGTGACAGCCAACAGCGGAGAGAGACTGGCCTTTGCAAAAGGGATAATAGCAGTGAGGCGGCCGTTCTGAGACAGGTAATCATCGCTCTCAGCCTGTCCTGGCCGGGTAGCTCAGTGGGTTAGAGCATCATCCCTATACGCTAAGGTTGCAGGGTTGATCAGGGCTCATACAAGCATCAACCAGGGAATGCATAAGTAAGTGGGACCGCAGAGTGACGTTTCTCCCTCACAATCACTCTCGGCTGAAAGCCTGCGTGCCAGGTGAGTAAACACAGATCCTGGAGGGGTATGTTGGCGACAAGGACAGACACATCGCTGCTGCTCGCTCTCCACTAGTGTTTGTGCAGCCTCGTCCCTGAGCGCTAATAGGAATCTCCCGGGTTTTGTCTCATTCCTATTGACATGTTTGCCCTCACACAGCTAGACTATTGGACGAGGGGAGCAGCAAAGAGAGAGCAGGCCCAGAGCTTACCGCTTTCCACGTCAGCTTCTGAGAGATGCAGGCACTGAGTAAAGGCAGTGATTTTCAGTTCGACGTGGTCCGTGGTGGTGTTTCTGGGAGCCCAGCTCAGCGTAACTTTCTTCCATGGCCCCCGTGGAGCATGAGCAGTTTGGAGGCACTGCTGATGCAGAAAGAGTTCTGATCAAATAAAATTAAAAACCCTCGATCACTGGGTTGCTTTGATCCCACAGGCATCTCAAGAAGGAAGTCAGAATTGTGCTTGCTTACTATCTTCCAAGCGTGCGCTTTTAAACCCCATTGCCTTTACCAAAAGCAGTAAAAATGTCATAAAAATAAAAAAAAAATCAGCAGAATAACAGCATCCATACCCATCTACCTCATTTGCTGTGGGCTCCCTTGATGACGGGACTCCTTCTGAGTGACTTCTGTAAAGTATCTCATTTAATTCTCACAGTTCATGGGGTATCCTCCCATCTGGAATTGCTTTCCATCTTCATCTTTGTTTAAGGCTCCTGTTGGGTTGCTTCCTCCATGAAGCCCCCCTTGACTTATTCCTCCTCTGAATTCCAGTGGCGTCCTGGGAATACACAATGAACATTTCCTGCAGAAATGAAGAGTGAGGTTCTGTTTCTGTCAGTTGCCTACATGTTGTCAGGCTGGGCAGCAGAAAACTTGCTTTCTCCATGACGGCGGTGGGGGTCTGTTAAACATGACTCCACGTGTCAGCCCTGCCCTGCCTGGCCTCTGCCAGCCTTACGCACCGAGGGCCTTCTCTGCAGGCACATTCCGTGCATATTTATCCCATTTCTAAGCCAACGTGACCAAAGTACATTATAGATTCCGGCAGGTGGGGTATGGAATTCGTTGTGGCATCATGGACTGGGACCCTGGTCCCTGGGTGAGCCGGGGAACCGTACCCACTGCCTTGCAGCCATTCCTAGACTCAGCTGTCTTGCCTCAGCTACATGCCTGGTCTTCTAACTTAGTCTCCTACCGAGCACTCTAGTTCTTCTCTGCACCCCTCAGCTCTCTTGGCAGAAGACAGGATTTCCCTATCGAGATCTTACTGGCCCTTCCCTTTTCCCCTTTCCCATCGCCACCCCCAAGTTCTTGCCCTGCTCCCCACACTGCTTTAACCTACTCACCACTCCAGGAGTGGGTCAGGAGTGAGCTCACCACCCTCTTCCTCTATCACAGGGGTGGGGAACGTCCATCCCACAGAATCATTTGGTCTGGCCCTGCCAAGGCATTAGGGGTGAGTTCACTAAATGTTTGACCAAGCAGAGCAGCTACTGTGTAAGCTGGTCATTTTGTATGGCCCGTGAATGATGTTATAAATATCCGAAGAGCCCTTGGCAGAAAAAAAGGTTGCCACCCCTGCTTGTGAACTTCCAGTGACTAACACTGTGTGGTCCTGGGTTCCTTCCCAGCTTCCAGTTTCTCCTACTTTCAAGGTCCCGTCCAGCTCACTTCCTCAAGCCCCAAACCCCAGCGTTAGGGATTATCGGGGCTTCAAGAATCTGCCAGACGTTTGCAAGGAGGATGGGACCTGTCTCGTGAGAAAGGAAACCGGGCACCTGAATAGAAAGCCGTCCGAGAGGAAGACAGAGATGGGATAGTGGCCTCTTCATAACAGCCTTGAACTTTGCGGGGGACCCGCCAGCAGTGCTTCCCAAATCTCTGATTCTTAATGATGAGAAAATTAACTCAAAGCAACTGGGAAGGAAACTCGATGCGGTTAGTAAATTGCCGAAGTTATAAAATAATGCAAATGAGCTCAGTTTTATGGCTGGTTCTTAGCTGAGGGGAGAAGCCTGAACCGAGGCTGCTGGATCTCCAGATATTACCCGATGGCCATCTCTCATGAGTCTCCTTTAGTGAGTAGTTACAAATGGCACACAATTAGTGCAACTATTGTTTGTATGCAAATGACGGCTCCCAAGAGCTTGACGGTGATTGGCCACAGTGCCTTCCCCTCCTTTGCTCGTTCTGGGCCTGTGGTCCTACTGTCCACTTTCCTAATATGTTCTTTCTCCATTAATGTCACCAAAGCAAATTCCAGTTCAACCCATGCACCAATTATCTCACACTGGGCTTACAGCAAGAGCTCAATTTAAGAAGCTTAAGGATACTGTGCTGTTTGTTGTCATTGTATTTACTAGTGGGTTTCCGACTTATTTGTAAGAACTCACTCTCCCTACTGAGTGCCAGTGGTTTCACCTTCAGGGACGGCCACTTCAGCTCCTCCCTGCCCACTTCCTGCTTCCCGGAACCCTCCTCCATGACTTGCTTGTCTCCCTTCCTGCGCTGGACACAGGACGATGTCAGTGATGCCTGCCTGGAGCCCAGGAGCCCTTGGTCCCCTTGGCTTCCCGTGTACCTGCTGCCGGTTATAACCAGGGGTCTTGCATGCACATCATGCGCTTTTACCCTCTTCTAATTAGTTCCCCTCGGTCTGTTCATTCTGAGTTTCTCCCGCTGAATCCTGCAGCTGTTCATAAGGAAATTACTACTCGCCGCGCTCAGTGAAATCATTATTCAAGGTCTGCTCTTTACTGCCTGTTCCTGCTACACAGACCTGACAGTCCCCTTCGAATCCTCTACGTTAGGCAAGCTCCACCCTGTCCACTTTCACTCCGTGTCACTGAGAAAGGCAGAGAGGTGCTGGCTGGCCCCCCAAGATGCCATGCGGTTCCCAAGTCGTATACTCCAGTCGTGAGAAAGGAAAACTTTATCAACTATGTTTCTCTTTGCGTGACTAACGCATCTGGTGGCAAGACACATAATCTTAGTGAATCCACAGCACACTCGGTCGTTACACAGTTTTTCGGCCTGTGTGTGTGTGAGTGTGTGTATGGGGGGGGGGAGTTCCCCGTTGTCTGACTCTAGGGGGGCGTGGAAGCTGTAGGGGGTGCGCCTCTGCAGTGTGGGCCCGTGTGAGGCAGGGGCGAGGGAGGGGTCAGAGCATGTGGGCATCAGCTGAGAGGAAGAGTGCCACTGGCCTCAGAAGTGGGCATCCCGGTCCCCACCTTGTGTGGGTCCCCATCTGGCCCAGGCCAGGCTTGCACTGCCTTCTCCTACAGCATCCCTGTCATTCTCCCTCCAGGGACACAGGTGGTCACAGCTCCTTCCTGCCCTGTCTCAGTCGTGGCTACATCGTTGTGTCCTTACTGGGAATGTGAAATTTCACTTCTTCACTCCTGATTCTGGGCGGCAGAAAACCAAGTGGGTTGTCTTCTGGTTCCTTCTCTACCCA